CAGCGGCCTGGGTTCGAATCCGACCTGCGGCCCTTTGCTGCGTGTCATCCCCTCTCTCTCTACCTCCCCTTTCCTGTCGATCTTCAGCTGTCACTATACAATAAAGGCATGAAAAGGCCAAAAAAAAAAAAAACTTGGATACAGGGCAGAGGTCTGTACTGTCTGTTTGATTCATATAATAGTAGCAATAATGCTATTATTATTATAGAGTGAAGAGTCTCCACGTGCAGCAATTTTACTGTGTTTGCGTTTTGTCTTTTTCTTTCCTCTTTTTAATTATTCACTTTTATTCCTAAATAGATAAAATAAATAATGGTGATAAAACATACTAATCAGAGGTTTTAATTTAAAGTTATCTTTATGCAGCTGCTCTCAGACCCTCTTCATGCTGTTTAAAAACTAAAAGTTACCTCTCTAAATGTTTTTGTTCTGCACTTTGGAACAACTAAAAGACTTGTGAGGACTTGAGTTTATACTTTACAAGCATTACGTTTTCTATATATAATAATGAAATGTTGTAAATTAACAAACCTGGCAACTTGCAAAAATTCTGAATGTATCAATAAAATGTTCACTTACAATTTCAATTGTTTTCCACCAACATAGTAATCTTGCAATACTATGCACTCGTAGTGACTACAGCATTATTCAAAAGTCAGCAGTGAATTGTTTCGATTCACTTTTTGAAATGTATAATATTTCACAAGGTGCTTTTGTTACAGGAGAATTATGTCTGTCCGTCTCATTCTTGTGATTGGGATATGTCAGGAACGCCTTGCAAAAACGTCCACTTGGACTCGAGAATTTGGTACACAAAGGTCAAAGGTCAAGGTCACTGTGACAAAACACATTTTTGGCCATAACTTAAGGATTGATGACCATACTTAAACTTTTGTTAGACTATGAAAGGTGACACTCTTGACTCAAAGGTCATTGTGACTTCAAAATAGGTTTTTAACCATGATTTAAAAATGTTCATATTTCACACACATCTTGACTGGCACATCACAACTATATAATTGTCTGATTTTATTTGCCTCAGTGCAGTTCATTTGCAACATGTTGTATAGTTACCTTTAGTGTTAAAAAAGGTGCCAGTACCCTAATTCAGCCCAACCTCAACCCTTATTCTGTTGGCGTTTTTATCCATCCAGGACATTTTCAGCACTGTTTTCTCAGTAGTAAGCTGGCTATGTGTTACTGAAGACACAGTTACTTCCAGGTGTTATTCCACAAAGAACCACCCCCTACTCTGCCTCTGATTGGTTCTAACATTTCCTACTAACCATCTCACTCCTCATACCTAAACCTAACCACCAAATCCAACAAAGGCAACGATCATGAGCCAATCAAAGGCAGAGTAGAGCGAAGTCATTGCAGAATACCGGTGGAAAAAAAAGAAAAAGAAAATCCAACATTATGCAGGTTTTTAGGGCTGAAGTACCAGTACTCAGTACCAGTGTGTACCGGCCCATTTAAGGTACTGGTAGGGGTTTTCTCACCGCACCTTAATTATGTATCATTTTAATTGTCTGATTTACCTCAGTGCCTCCTGAAAAGCTTTAAATCCTGGTTTCAACCATGGCGAGGACTTTATAACTTTGTTTTGAAAGGTGCTGTTAACAGTTTAGTCTTATAATTTTAGACACGATGAGATCAGTTGTGTTTCAGTGCATTAAAACCAGAACTTTTCCAAAGTCAGACAGGAAGCTCTCCTCCTGGCCGCTGTCAGAACATACTCCTGTATTAGCACAAACACAGACTCATGTGAGCTGAGCCTCTCAGGTTATTTTGGGGGTCAGCTGTTGTTCAGGACCCTCCTCCTCTTCCTCCTCCTCCTCTCCTTCCTCTGCCTCTCTCTGTTTCTTCTTCACCTCCTCTCCTTCACTCCACTGATCCTGGTAAGACTTTTTTTCATTCTCTTCCCTTTCAGAAATCTGTTGTTTCAGTAAAGAGTCCGTTCAGGTTTGCCTTCACGTAGCGCTGTAGCCAAACTTCAACCCTAGAAGTGTCATCGTTTCTTCCTTCAGTGCATTTGTTTGGGAAAATAAGTTTTGGTTCCTTATAGGCATTAAAATGTCCTGCTGCTTGGTTTAGGGATATGTGCTGATTGACTCATGTGGTTTACTATCATGTACTGACATGGAAAGACACATGGACGTCTTCCATAATGGCTGCCATGATACGATCAGTTGCTTTGTCACTGCCAGTGTCGGTAAGTCTGTAAATATTCTGTGAAGTCACTGTGAAACAATCTGCCGTCACTTCAGCATTTCAAAGCTTTCAGTCACATTAGCAGAAGGATAATACTTGAATTTAAAGGCTATATATATATATATATATATATATTAAGTGTTGAGTGTATATTAATTAGACTTTGCAGCTTAAAGATTTTGTGGCCTTTTGTGCTGTTAGTAGGTTTAGAAGATGGTAACAGTTTTTCTTTTCTTAAAAATCAGATTGTAATGGGCCAGGCCTACGAGCATGATCACAGTTTTTTGTTTGAAAGTCCATCCTGGTCCAGTATGCACTTTTCACAGTGTGATCCACCAGTGCACATTCACTGAGAATGGATTTTACAGTGAAGGAGGAGGGATCTGTACAATGTACATAAAACAAGGTTGCTTGTCTTAGACCCTGTAGTTTTCATTTCAGACATAAAGACAATAAGTTTAAACTTAAACAACATAAAAATTGTGACTGTCAGCTCTTTTTAAACACATCAGTCTTCTATATTAACTTTCAGCCTAATATGACTCACTTTGTTATTTAGTTAATTCAAAGCTCTTTTCATGTGGTGTTTCTGTTATTCTGTCCACCTCCTGTTGGATATGGTTTGTGGTTTTCTGAGTATTTATGAGATAGAGATGTGATGACAAGTTATTTATTTTTATGTGGTTGAAATTGAGGGGGAGGGGCTGTGATTGGTTGCGTAACTTAAATGGGTGGAGTTTACATTTTTCTTCAGGGGGTCATTACAGCAGAAGGTTGGGGGGGTGAGGGGGGGTGTATGACATGAAGCAGGTAAACAGACGAGTTAAACAAACACACATAGATTCCCACGTTTCATATGGTATGTGTGTGTATACAGTATGTGTGTGTGTCCACAGTATGTGT